TATGCTTGAAATAGTGGCTCTGGAGCAGCTTTACTCGCGATTGAGAAACACCCACTGTGTGTGAAAGAGCTGCTATCTCTCTGCTCACAGTCTCCCTCTTGCTCCTCTTCCTCCCTCAGTGCAGCCATCCTGGCCTCCTCTTCCTCTTCTAGAAACTGGTGAAGCTTCTTGAACTGCTCCTTAATCTGCGTCTCTGTGTGTTGAGCCTGGACCTTCATGTGTCCTGCTGTTTGATCAAACTTCACTTTAACTTCTTCAAAGAGCTTCAGTTTCTCCTGAAAGGGCTGCAGAGACTTCTGGAGCTCCTCTCTGAGATCCTGAGCAGCTTCATCCATGGGTCTGAATCTGTGGTTGGAGTGTGTTCTTGAATCCCTGCAGACGACACACACTGGCTGCTGATGGTCCAGACAGAAGAGTTTGAGTTTCTCAAAGTGCAGACGGCAGAAAATCTCAGACCCGGCTGAAACGTTCTGATCTCTCTTCACTAAGAAACTCTCACACAGGTTCTTCAACACCAGGTTATGAGGAGGATCACTCCTTGATGACCTCCTCTTACAAACTGGACACTCGTGTGTTCCTTTTCCTTTCCACCAGTTCTTCAGACAGGCTTTACAGAAGCTGTGGCTACATGTCAGGACAACTGGATCATTAAAGACATCATGGCAGACCGGACAGGAGAGATCCTCCTCTGATATGGACGCCATTGTGTGTTGCAAAATGCTGAAAATGAAGCAGGCAGACAGCAAGAGTTCAAGCACTGTCAGTATGGCAGTTCTCTATCAAGCGTTGTTTTCTCTTTAGTAGTAATAAACTTACATTCAGTGTGATTTCTCAGTAGTCCAGTTTTCCACTTGTGAATTGAAGTTTCCTACGAAAGTAAACCTCTCGGTCTTTGTCCCAGAATGACACTGGTGTTAATCCTTGTTTGTCTCAGGTGAGTCATGCAGTGGGTGGAGCATTTTTGTTCAAATGTCACAGACCAGGTTCCTCATTCTCTCATAAAAGCTAACGCCCTACGACTTGTACTTTGAAATGTAATCACAACCTACCTTGTTGGAATCCAGCCAGGTATTTGTTGCATGTCCTCAGGTTAAAGTGCAGTCATGTCACT